CACTACTATACCACCTTCCCTACCACCAACTACGAATAGCTCAACCACTACACCACCCCTTACAGCTGATAATATTACTGTAACAACTTTCCTACCACCAACTACCAACGTTAGCTCAAGTTCTGCAGCACCTATTACAGCTAGAAATACCACTATGACAAAACCAGCAACAAACACCTCAACTACTGCAACACCTACTATAGCTGATAATACTACTACGCCGCATTCTTTACCAGCAACTACCAATAGCTCAGCCCCTGCAACAACTACTGTAGCGCCAAATAAAACCAATAATACTACTGTGGCATCTTCTTTACCACCGTCAACAACCATCTCTACTGCACCATCAACTACAAATGAAACTACAGCTGCTGTTTATTCTCTTTCCYCGACAACGAATACTACAGCTACCAAAGTACCAACTAGGGCTGAGAATACAACTGTTTCATCTTCTTTACCAACTTCTCCCAACAATGGATCTACTGCAGCACCAGCTACAAATGGAACTTTAATTCTCTCATCTTCGACCTTAACCCCGACAACCGTCACTAAAACTAGTGCAGCACCAACTATCAATRAAACTACGACTGTTTCATCTTCTCTACCACCGACAACAAATACGACGASTACTTCAATACCAACTACAGCAAAAACTACAGTAAAAAAATCTACTCTTCCACCGACAGCCAACAAAACGAGTACTGCAGCAACAACAACCTCCAAAGCCAGAACCAAATCATCGACTCGATCATCAACTAACAGAAGGACTACTGCAACAACAACTGCCAGTACCACAATTTCGAGATCTTCTCCAACAACATATAAAACTTTACAAACGACTTTAGAACCTAGCACTACAACTGAGCTCACTTACCGTACCACAAAAGGCAGAGCAAAAACTRCAGCTGAAGTTGGACTACCAAAAACTGAACTGCCATCCATTCCTACAACTGGAATCTCGACAACTGGTATGAATATGTTAGATGGTTTGCTTTACCCTATGTTTATCAGATTAAAACTTTCATTCCCTACCCCTGGGAACCAGTAACCCTGGATAACCACATAGTCTACCGTTGATCACTCAAACAGTCCGTTCGTTYATAAAATAACGGCCCCTTTTATTGTGAATCGCTTGAGGACGATTTTCGTAAGCCCCCTTTCCCCTTCGAATTCCTATCCGAAAAGCGTTGCTATGTTTAGGCTTTTTCCTCCCTTTAGCATCTGTATTACCTTTTGCAGCTCAGTAATCACGTCGTGGTAAATATTTTGATTCCCATGGGGGAAATTTATTGGAGAGCAAACACACTTTCTACGACCTGTTTTGAGAGATCGTAATAAAACTGCACTTTGTAATACACTGGTTACACATCGTTTCATTCATTTCCTTGCAAGTAACTAAAAGAATWACCAATTTAAAATAAAAACCAAAATTTAGCTCTCCAGTACAGAGACGTGACCGTTAACTGCAAAGGGCCTATTATTGTTCAAAAGCGAATACACTACACAAGTAAAAATTTAGCYACCGACCCATACAAATATTGGCCAGAAAATGTGTTTTCACTTGAATTACTACATTACTTATCCATGTTACCTTATTACTGTCTACGAACTAATGAAAGATCCAACCCGTTTATCTATTTTTAAGGTATGAATGCCACAAGTCATATTGTGTTAGCAGCGAAAGCAGCACGCGGCCTTGGCGGAGGATCCATCGCGGGTATCGTCATCGGGCTGCTAATACTCATCCTTTTAATCGTGGTGGCGGCAATATTCATCATGAAGCGTTTTTTAGCAAGTGGCCACAAATCGTACGAAGAAGTGGAAATGGATGATTTTGAACATATGAATTTCGCGTACTATTAAAATTCCGTAAGGAACAAAGTAGGCGACTTTACAGAAGTTAGTATTWGGGAAGTTTTTGGGATCACATATGACATACGAGGTATATACGAAATAACTTGAACTTCGTGTTAGGTTTTGRACGACTCTCCTTGACCGTTGATCAGCTTGCGACAAGCTGGAGTTCAGAYGATGAAACTTAGACCTTGTCTTTAATTAGCATATAAAATTGAGTATTTTGTACGTAAATGTTATATTTATCAAAAATTAAAAGGCTTCTTCTACGTGTAATTTAATAATTTTTGACGAATTACACGTAGAAGAAACGTTTAAATTTTTCAAAAAAATTATCATATAGTTAGGATAGTACGTGCGCGCTGATTGGTCGAAAACTGTGCTTTATTAGAGAACGGAGCACAGTGTTTTCGTTTTAATAATTTCAGTCCATAACAAATAAAATGAGTAACATAGCTTTTTCCGAGCTCCATTCAGTAAAAGCACTTGGGATGTGCCGTAAGCACTCAAGAAATTTGAGAAGCACTCGCCGTTCTCCTTACACTTCTTTCGTGTTGACGCCACTTCATGCGTGCTTTATTACTGAACGGAGCACGGAAAAAGCTGTTTTATTTGTTAAATAGTTGCTGCCGAAACATTAGAGAATACATTCAATGGCTTCACAAAAGGTTGTTGTGAAGTCTGTTGTATTCGTGGCAAACGCAAGGTACTGGCTTGTTTTGCATTTAGAATTGTGATTGGATTAATTGGTTAAGTAAAGAAGCCATGCACCCAATCAATCCCTGCAAGGCTCGCAACATAGAGAACGTTGAAACAGTACAGTATGCAGCAGATCGTTAAGGTTGGCCAAAACGTTTCTGTTCTTTGTTGGACAGTAAATATATCATCCCCTTGAGAATAAGATTCTTTGTTTGAGATGTATCGCATGCATGTTTCGCATTAGTRTATTAATCGGAACATTTTTCTGTAAATTTCAAAGAAAATTTTGTGACTAATATTAAAAATTATGAGAATAAGCAGCTTAAATTATTGGTAGTAATTTTCTACAGTAGTTTAATACAAAGTAACAAAAAATAGACAAGACTATTAAAATATGAACATTAAATGTTGAATATATATTTTGATGTTAAGTATCGAATATTATTCATTCGTATTTCTACACAAGTGAATATGATAAATCCTACGCGCTCATTGGTCACATTTTACGTCTTATACCATGCTATATTCACCTACAGGTGAATATAACTCGCGCACGCTCGCTTGTAGATTTGTKCCGCTTGCAGCTGAGATAAATAATATTGGGGGTAAAATATTTATCATATTCACTTGTGTTWAAAATACTATACTTGATAGATATTAAAATCTTAAAATCTTAATATTAAAAATGTTAGTAATATATCTTTAGTGACTTCACATTTTTCTCAATAAAAATTTATAGAACTTTTTGCCTCGTTTCKTACTTCATCATTTTGCTTTCCCTTCTTTCTTCTCTTATTAATAAACACAATATGAAAACTTTATCTTTACGTTTCAAGAAATGACTTTAAGTTTTGGCATATCGTAAAGTCCATATATAATTAGGACCTCGATGAAGATAAATTCAATGTAATTTCTTATAGTTTTACCCATTTCAATTAAATGTTATTTGTCAGTCAAGTTTGAAATTCAAGTTTGCATATTTTCGCATTAARCATGAATGTAAATGAAACAATGTAATTGGAAAATTTCGCTGTGAAAAACAATACTTTGCGCGCCTAGATTCCAACACCTGGACGTTGCAATAAGCATGCGCGAACATATTCCCGGCCCAATCAATAAAGTATGAAGGGAAGTTTTTATATTTGCATAATATAACTTATGTATAGGTATTACGTGATGAATTCACTACATCAATTCAGGTCTCAGAGTACCATGCAATAGAAAGCAAGACACTCCATAATTGCTGATCGCTTATTCAAGTTGCCTTCCTTTAACCCCATTGTCTRCCAAGTCCAGTTTTACTCCTGATTAAACGTGTTTTTACTTAACTTCTGCCGCTCTTCTAGGCCATTGATCACGCAGCTGCAACGGAACAAGTTTCTCAATGTACCGACAAAAATTTCTAATGATTTGTCAGGTGCAGTTAGATGGTTTTTTTAATAAGTGGCAAAATTAAGGTTAGGACTTACAGCACGTACTACACACCAACACTGAATTTGAATAAAAATGTTTCTTGTTGCGTTTGTGTCGAATATGAAAACTCTGATGGTTTGCGTTAACTAAGTACGGTGGGGGAATGCTATACCTATATACTGCAAAATAAAGTATTTTCATATAATAAGAAATCCTCTCTAAGAAAAATTAGAGAATTTTTTTGATTGCATAATTTATGATTTTCCTCTCGCTGTCAAGAAACTACAGTTTTTTTTCTTTGTTGCCTTGCCGATTTACATCCATGAAAGCTGATTTTGCAAGGTTTTATTGCTAAAAAAGGAGATCATAAGCCCCCTTATTCATTTATGAATAGRACTAAGTTTTTTTAGATGGTTTGAAAAGCACAGATGTTCTACCTGCTGAATACATTTATGCTGATGTAATAAWTGCTTTCCGCAATTAAATTCCAAACTCCGCAAGACATTGTGCCAGTGAATGAATTGTCGACGTTCCCCCAGTATTAACTATATTACTGATGAGAAATTTATCGTGCTCGACCGAAAACGGTTGACAAATACAGGGACAAAGATATCAAGAACAAGGTTTGTAACCACAAAAGGATACTCATTGAATGTTACGTGTTTCCTTAAGCACTCCATAAAAATTTGTTTATTCTATTGCTATAAGACAGTATGGAATTTTAAACCTTCTTCTTGGTTGTGTTCTCTAAAATTTATTCATATTTTTATTTTTTATTTTATTATGTATTTCCTTTCTTGTAAGCTTTACATAAATATATTTGTATATTTGTTTATTTGTTTGTTTGTTTGTTTGTTTTCTTTGTTTGTGTGAAACTGGGCAAAGCTTCTTAGTAGATATGAAAGTATTCAAATTTATACAACAAAAAATATATAAATAATTTAACCAACAACTGATTCATGTAGAAACCCAAGCTAAAATAGAGTGGACAGTGAACTTTTCGCATGCAGGCCACGTATGCAAGTCACAATCAGTCACTCCGTCATTCAGTTTATTTAAGGAATATAAAACGCGCGCGCATGTCTTTGTACTGTGTATAAACTCGCTGGGAAATGTAGAGCAACAGAGCCGGCGGAACAGTTTTTAAAGTGAAGCTGTGGGGGGGGGTAGAGTCCTCCCCTTTCCTCCCTGTTTTGAGATGAATTTTTTTTTATTCCTAGGCAAAGTAAAATCAAAATGGAATTATCGTAAAAAGTGAGGGGGGGGGGGGTCTTAAACCCCCCAGTTAAGAAAAGTTGGTACATTAATATGTAACCTAAACATTATACCTACTCAAGTTTTTTGCTTCTTTCAAAATAACAGAAGTAATCATGTAAATCTAAATTTWATGTTTTGGTTCCCTAAAGACCTCTTTAGCTTTACGTTATGTGAGTTGCCCATTTTTGTGTCATTCCCTTGAGTATTTWTTATTATTATTATTGTTTGGATGTAAATGAAACAAAGAATCCTATTCTCAAAGGCCAAATGGCCAAAACACCGCCTATCGCCCAACAAGCTAAAGAGAACTTTTTGTTATAGTGTAACCGATTCTTGTCTCTCCAAATGCCGCTTTGTCCAGTTTCTAGGCCCTGGCTAAACGAGGAAACAAGTTTCCAGAAACATGTTTCCCGCGCGCATGTTCCCCGATGATTCCAAGTTTAGCCACATCAGTGCGAAACGTTGCTACGTGCAACAGTTTTGCTTCCAAGAAGCAAAAATGTGTCTGCTGTGCGGCAGAAACATTTCATGCTTCCTCGTTTAGCCAGGACCTAAAGGTTAATTAAACCTAGTTTGGGGTATTCACGTCATCCCTCTTTTGAATGCCATAAAACCGGTTACCTTGTGGCATCCCCACTATCAAATCTACGTTTTGGTCGAATTTTAATTTCATCGGAATAAAAATTACAATAAATATCTGAGTAGATAACAGTGTGCGTGATGAGGAGAGGATACATGCTGGGGGATTGATGCTGAGAGCATTGGCGGCAAATGTTTGATCTGTASGTCTTGAGGGGTTATTTCAGATGAACGCAAAAGGGATATTCAAGGCCTGCCGCTCTTCCTGACAGATATCCTCTCTAGTGTCGGCGTAATGAATTCTATATGTCAATCGTTTCATTCCGTTGATAATAATTTCTATATTTCCATTAAGGATATAAATATGAAAGTATTGAATAAGATATCAAATGCATCTTTACAAGCTGGTGATTCTTTTGTCCGAACTTCAAAATAGTCGACTTATAAAGAAAAGGAATCAAGAAACGAAGTCAATTTTCAAAATGTCAGTACCTGATTACTTCCCATTTTAATATTATTGATTTTCTTTTCTTATTCAGTAAAAATTTGATAATTTGGAGCATGGGCAGAATCTTCGTAATAATAACGTTTCTGACGGAAGTGGCTGTTGCTATCGGACCAATGATTTATGTAACCTCGTCTCCAGTAGCAACTGAAAAAGGAATCATAGCAGTGAAAGAAAATATTAACTTAAAAAAGGCTATTGATGCTGCATCAACTGCATTACCAGCCAAGACAGCACTAACCGAACATGAAGATACACTATCTCATGATGTTGAATATTCTTCGACTGATAAACAGCAAGACCAAGCTTTTAAACTCAGAACAAGCATTATTACCCAGAATGCTATTGCAGCTTTAAAGCCAACTGAAGGTTCAAGTACTGTGGCACAATCCAGCACAGCTTCAATGGCCACTGGCGTAATAGAATCCACTTTAAGAGCAACGCAAGCATTTCCTTCTATGGTCAACTCCTCAATTGTAGGCAATTTAAAGTTACTATTAAATCCTGTCAATGTAACAAAGACAAAAACACAGACGACGATAATAACAAAACATAGCACTGCGTTAAYATCAATAGAATCATATACCAAAACTGTTTCTCCTTCGATGACTTTATTAGGTGATTATGGTTTCCATTCACATGTGCTATCGACGTCAGSCATTGTTTTTTCTGTTCAATCAAAGACTGCCATTTTATCAAATACCCCACWTTTGAATATTGCAACCATAAAGGCATCTAATACAATTGAATCAACATCACTAACCTATACCATACAATCAACTCTAGAAACTAAACCATCGATCACAAAACACTTATCAAGCACCCCACATTTGAGCAATAGTTCCATGGAATGGTCCGAGTCAACTTCGACATGGACTAACACTAGAGTTATTTCAATGACTTCAGCCATGCAACCTARCCTACTTACTTCTGCGCGTGTTGCACATACACCTCATTCAGTGAGCAATGCACCTACCAGGAATCTACCGTTTACAGAAGCGATATTAAGATTAATAACTCCATCCCATGATGTCCCAATTGCAACTAGCAGCTTTATCCTACAATCAACTTCGCAATCCACTGCAAATGCCTCAGACGTTACGAATACTTTCCAAAAGAACASCATGTCGGACATMATTACAGGACTGGTGATAGGGTTCATTATATTTGTCCTGGTACTCGTAGTAACCGTAAAAAAGATCAAAAAGTACTACCTCTCTGGACGTCAACGTCGACAGYCTCAKAGTGCAGAACGAATGGAAATGCATTTCCTAAATCAGTACGATGTTTCACTCTGATGCTCCTAGTGCTAAATGAACTAAGGCCCGAGCATGCAAACGGTCCCAACAAGTCCCAACATGTTGGGCATTATCCGCCATTTTGCTTGAACTTATCATGGCTGCCTTTTATAATACGAGTAAAAAAAAAAACGAAAAAGCATAGCAGTTATGGTTCTAAATAAAGTCCTTAGCGAAAACAGTACTCAAAAGTGTGTTATGGAAAAACGAGAGGACGGATCAGACGCCGAAACTAGAAAGGACACCTGACATTGTCAAAGGGAGGAAGACACATCAGGAAATTTGATTTTTTTATTTTTATTT